AATCTACATAAAGTACAATTAAAAGGAGAAAATGAAGAGACAAAAGAAACAACAATAAAAGAATCAAATACAAAAGGACAACCTACAGAAACCCCAACAAACACAGATGAAGAAAAGAAAAAAGAGCAAATTAGTCAAGACAGACATGAAGAAGTAGAGGGACAAGAGAAGAAAACCCAAAGCCAAGAACAAAAGAATAGTGTAGTTGATGAAAAAAAAGAATACCGTCTCAGGAGAAGAAAAACAGAATAAAGAGGATGGACAACAAGACAAAGCAGCAGAAAAACAAACTCCAACAACTGACACAGAACATAACAAACAAAAAGACAGTCTAACTAGTAATGAAGGTGGTAGTCAAGAAAAGCAAGAGGGAAAACAGAATGAAGAATCTGAAAAAGGACAGATAGACCAAGGACAAAAAGGAAAAGAAGAAGGAAAGGAGGTAGAAATTGGAGGAGGAACAAAAGAGGAAAAAACAAAAAGTGACGAAGAGCAAAAGGGTCAAGAAAGTAAAGAAAATCATGCAGAAGATGATAAAAAGTCACAAGGAGAGAATGAGAATGAGAACAAGAATGACCAAAACGGTAAAGGAACGAAAGGAGAAGAACAAGGAAAGAAGAAAGAAGAAGGAAAAGGTGATGAAAAGAGTGATGAAAATGAACAGAACAAAGGAGCAACTCAAGAAAAGAATACGGAAAAGCAAGAGAGTCAGAAGGAAGGAGAGGGAGTTGACAAAACAAAAGAAGAGAAGAAAGAGAATGATAATAAAAACCAAGAAAAGAAGAGTGAAGAAAAAGAACAAAAAGAAGAAAAGTCATCAAATGGTTCTGAAAGTAAAACAGATAGTGAGTCTGATGAAGAACTAAATGGTCATAACAATATTGATGGTACAATATCTACAGTTATTATTCTTTCTATTGTCATCACATTTTTATTCTTCTAATTGATTGTTTTAGTCTTTATTTTCAACACCATACAACAATTACTATAGTTTTACTGAATTGCTATTTCCTTTTATTCATCAACTGTGTTTGTTATTTCATTGAATATTCATGTTACATAAACCAAATTGATTTTAATCAATTAAATTCAATAATAAAATGATGGTAAATGAAAATAAATGTATCAAATTATCATCAAAATACAAACAGTTTATCATATTAACGTTTAAAATCAATAATAAAAACAAGAAAAATGAAATGAATGAAGTGGAAAATGAAAATAATATGAAATAAAGATAATATGATAAAATGAATTTAAAAAAAGAGTATAAATGTATATCTATGAAATATATAAGTATTAATTTACTTTTAATTCAAAACGTTGTTATAATAATTATTTATTTTTGTTTAAGAATAATCAACGAAAATTATTAATGTGTTGATTTACTCCACTTTTTAAAGATTCTTCTCATTTTTTATAACAATAAATATACTCTTTATTTGCATTAAATTTAATTAACCCATTTTGTATCAAAAGAAAATTCAATTCATTCACTATTAAATTACAGTTTTAATATTATTTAATTCATTTGTTCATAAATTTGAATATTATTAATTGAAACTCTAAATAATTCTTCATTAAATTTGATAATTGATTAAGTTATGTTTAATGTATTTTATTATTTTGTTTGTTTATAACAAAATTATCATATCAAATGATTGTATTTAAGTTATCTATTACTTCATTACATCTTCTTACAGTAATTATTACGAATGAATTTAACATCTATTAAAATGCAACGCTAAAGAAATCATTGAAATATCGAATTAATTTATCAATATTCTTTGATAGCATTCTTTCTCTATTCCATCAAATACTCGTGTTCATAACAGTATTCACCAACTCAACATATTCAAATTTATTATTTAAAATATTTAAATCGTTGTGTTTACTATTTACTGAATTGTGTATATTTTATTAACTATTTCATTAATTGTAAAATTGTTTTAATCAATAATTCATTCTTAATATATTTACAATGTTTTGGATATAAAATAACATAAATATAAGTTTATATTTTAATTCAGTTTTATATTCTTCTTATATATTTAATATAAAGAACATATTAATAAAATATCTTATATAATCGTTGTATAACACTGATTTGAAAATTTATACTTAAATAAGTTTTTCACACTGAAACATTAACCATAACATCTAATTCACTTGAAATATAAAGTAGTTTATGTTAATAGAATAAAAATAGTTAGCGAATATCAGAAATACTTGTTGTCAATCTTACATTATTTGATTGTACAATAATACAAATATTATTTAAATATTTTATTTCATTCATTTATTTGTTTATTAATTTCTTTAACATATTCTTTTCTTCTTATATCTCTAAATA